AAGACTACAAGCCAAGCATGACAATTTTAATGTACACAAAAAGGTAAAAGAAATAACGGGTACTTTTAAAAAGCGAACACAAATGAAACTCATAGACACCAATGGAAAATTAATCATTGACACCCAAGAGATGAAAGACAAATGGAGAATATATTTGGAGACACTTTTTCAAGATCAAAGAACGGATTATAGGCATCCATTTTCAGAGAGGATGACGGGCCCGGACATACTTAAATCCGAGGTAGAAGAAGCAATAAAACGGATGAAAAGCAGGAAAGCTGTAGGGCCTGATAATATCGAAGCTGAATTTTTAAAACTCTTGGAGGAAGAAGGAATAAATTGGATCACGGCTGTCTTCAATAAAATATACAATACAGGAATCATCCCTGATAAATGGCTAGAATCAGAATTCATAGCGATACCTAAAAAACAGGGGGCTAAAAAGTGCGAAGAATATCGAACAATCAGCCTAATGAGCCACATGTTGAAACTGTTTCTTAGAGTCATCCATGGAAGAATTTATAAGAAGTGCGAGGAACAAATATCGGACAGACAGTTCGGCTTCATTAACGCAGTGGGTACCAGAGAGGCACTTTTCGGAGTACAGGTACTGATTCAAAGATGCAGGGACGTTAACTGCGACGTATACGCGTGCTTGATCGACTATGAAAAGGCATTTGACAGAGTTCAACATCAAAAGATGATAAACATTTTAAAAGAGGCAGACCTGGATGACAAAGACCTCAGAATAATTTCAGAACTCTACTGGAATCAGACCGCATACATGAAAATTAACGGAGAAGAAACAGATCACATAAAAATACTACGTGGAGTTAGACAGGGATGTATCCTATCGCCGTTGATATTTAATATGTACTCAGAGAAAATTTTTAACGAGGCTCTTTACGGAATAGACGAAGGCATCCTTCTAAATGGTGAAAGAGTAAACAATGTTAGATATGCCGACGACACCATGGTGATAGCAGATAGTTTAGAGGGACTTCAGAGGCTAATGGACAGAATAAACGAGTACAGTCAACAGTACGGACTAAACATTAATACCCACAAAACGAAACAAATGATTATCAGCAAGGAGAATATAAACGGGGCTCATCTATACATTAATGGGACGCAGATAGAGCGAGTAAAACAGTATTGCTACCTGGGAACTATTATAAACGAACAGTGGAGCAATGTACAGGAAATAAAGTGCCGCATAGGAAAGGCAAGAACGGTCTTTAACAAAATGAGCGCCATCTTCAAAAGTCACAACATATCCCTTGATACAAAAATGAGACATTTGAGATGCTATGTTTTCTCTGTGTTGTTGTACGGGGCGGAGGCATGGACGCTTACAGACACCACTATTAAAAAACTTGAAGCATTTGAGATGTGGCTTTATAGAAGAATGCTGAGAATATCATGGACAGCAAGGATCACGAACAAGGAAGTTCTAGGAAAAATGAAGAAGGAACCAGAGATTGTGTTTACGATCAAACGCATAAAATTGCAATATCTGGGACACGTTATGAGAAATCAGCACCGTTACTCCCTGCTGCAGTCTATATTGCAAGGTAAAGTCAAAGGTAAGCGAGGACCCGGTAGAAGGAGAATATCATGGCTGCGGAATTTAAGAACATGGTTTAAGAAAACCTCAACGGAGCTGTTTCGAGCCGCAGCGAGCAAGGTTATGATTGCCAATATGATTTCCAACATCCGAAACGGATAGGAACCAGAAGAAGAATATTATGAAATTTACCTCTTAGGCGTATCTTATATATTTCTTCATTAACTGCAGTGAAACCCAATATCGACCTGCGGCACTTATGGTTTACCATAAAATTCACTCCAAAATATCCTTGATTTTCTGCTCCATAGCAGTATAAACTGTAGTCTTTTTTATTTATGCATCCATACACTTTAAATCCGATTTCTTGGAGAGCGGCTATGTCTACTTCGTGCAGTACCTGGGCAATACTTTGCATTTTGCCTGCCTGCAGCATGGTTTGGGCATTACACTTTCCCAATAACAATTCCATCATTAAGTTCTTATTCCATAGCTTTGGTCGTTATGCGTTAGCCTGTTCGGTTTGTACGTTGTTCATAGCATTCATGATAGTTAAGTTTAATGTAAATAGGTTATCGGCACCTGAGTTCAGTGTCAGGGCTGCAATGCTGGTATATTATGTGTTAGGTTAGGGTTATACCGACCATGTTTGGTCAGGGGTTGGGGAAAAAGAATAGGAGTGCTGCTCCATTCAGTTGCCTTTTATGACACATAGGAGAAACTTTCGGGATATTCTTCTTTGGTACCCCACACAGGGTACTTCTAACAAAAACTTAAAGCTTTTGAAATCTAGGCGTATGCGAATAAGTTGGGTAGATAGAGTTCGTAACAAGGTTGTTTTGCAGCGGATGGGGAAAGTTATGGAAGTGGTCAGAATAGTCAAAAATTGCAAACTGGGATATGTTGGCCATGTTATGCGTCAACCAAAGAGATATAATATACTAATAATACTTAATAACATAAGACAAGGTGAAATCAGCATGGGGAAATTATCCACCAAGAACTAACTGACAAACTGGGACTTCTCTAAACCGACCATCTTCCTTATTATCAATACGTTCCTAAAAGGATGCTTGAAAATGACAACAACAAGCCATACTGGGACCGCACTGTACTCACAGATCAACCAGTGGCACATAATAGACCAGATCTCATACTAGTTAATAAACTTACCAGGCAAACAACACCTATCTAACAACAATAATTGGCGTGTTAAATACAACGAAAAGATCGCCAAGTATAGAGATTTAGAAATACAAATTAGGAGGCAATGGAGAATGGAAAGTAACCAGACAGTACCTATTATTCTATCTACTACTGATGTTGTTTCCAAAAACCTCCTAGAGAACATAAAACAACTGGGTCGAAATGAACATCTCTATAAGGCCATGCAGAAAGCTGTACTCGCGACGTAAGAAGATAGACATGAGATGTGTACGAAAATATTTGTAAGATACTCCAGCATACTGTCACCTAGGCTTGATAACACCGAACGAGTTCCACCAGAGCTCAATCCTTTGGTACCGTTGGTATCCGTAGGTATCTGGGATAAGTGAATTTTTCCCTTAGAGGGAGTGTGAGCCATATGGCTAAATCTGGACAAGGCAAGATAGATGGAAGAAGGGAGCCAGGTAGAAGATTAACGTCATGGCTTAAAGACCTGAGGGAATGGTTTAACAGATCCTCCGCATCGGTTTCCGAGCTGCCTTCAATGAAATTAGTATAGTCAATTTGATAGCTAACGCATGATAATCGAGCAGGGCACAAGAATAAGAAGAAGAAGATCCATTTCAAGCGGTGTGTTTTAATTGTGTGAACGTGTTATCTTTCTCTTGTTTCGTTCTTTTGTGGTACGGATAATTGAAAAGCACGGATAATTGAAAAGCACGGATAATTCAAACATTTATTTCTTAATTATATAATAAATACATAAATACATGTCATCATTATTATCGTATCTACACTCCTAGTGGAGTGATTGCCTCTTTGGGCTCTTTCGATTCATTTGTCACGGGGAATCAGCCTGCATTAACATTTTGGGTTTACAATTGGTTGTGCGCTTTGGCGATTTCTACAATATTTCTTTCCTATTTTTTCTTATGGTTTTCATTCTCTAACTCATATCTTCTTAAGGTCCACAATTATCTGGTTCTTCCATTTCGTTTTCTTCCTCGTGATCTGCCTGATACTGGTCTCTATTTGGTGATTTTCTTGATATCTGATTCTTGAGGTCTCCTTTTTAGATGTCCCATCCATCTCTGTGCCTTAATACATCTGGCAATGTCTTCTCATTTTAAAAAATAATATATTGAAATAATGTATTGCAATTTTTGATAATAAACAAGTTAATTTTCTCTACATTTGTATATTGACTAAAATGATTTCTCTTTCTAACAAGTTGAATCGGTAGACCACCTACATTTATTATAAGCATATCGGCATTGGCTAGGTAATTTTAATTGCGTTGTTTACTTTCTTTTTTAAATCTCTTCGACTGTGAAGAATTGTTCGCGTTACGCATTCTGACTTTAACAGGTAGATTTTAAAATGGCCGATTCAATCATGGCGTAATACGGATCCCACCGATCGGTATACACTTATTAGTAATTTGTTTAATTGTTATTGTAATCGTATCAATTGCATTGTTGTGTTCGATGCAAGAGGAAAAATAAAAAAAACATAAAAGCGAAATTGCTGAATATAATAAGTAAATATTAAAGAATGAATTAATATCTTATTAATATTGTACCACACATGATATATTTCTTATTTAAAATAAACTTATTATGAAACTGCAAGGAAGAAGGTTGACAAATAACTGATATCTGTATTGTTAAAATATATTCGCCGATTAACAACGACAAAAAAACTTTTACAGCAGAAAATTAAGTTATTCAATGGGAAATACTACAAGAATCTATCAGATATTAACAACCAACGAAGTTCAGATATTCAGATACTAAGACCGGCCACGGTCCCAGTAAATCTTATTTAGTCTTCCTTTCATAATGTTTTCAAAAAACTGGCAAATCGGCAATTCTTCGTAATGGATTGTTAAAATCTCAGCTATATTGCTATCGTTGGCACCTTTTGGCGTATTTATTTTTTAATGGTATTTTCCACTTCCGATACAATTAGGTATAGATGTTCCCGAATGATTTCTGAAGTCAGTTATATTCAATATAAGCTCATAAGTTATCGAGATACATAGTTTTAACATATTTTCCCCAGACGAGACTTTTATTATTGTCTATTATTTTATTATTTTGTCTAATCAATGTAATGTTTTTATTTCTGAAACATTCTGGTATCCGCTTAAATATGTGATAAAAGTTATACTTTCCATGTCTAATAAATTAATAAGAGTATAAAAATGTATCTTCCGGGACTTAATCCACTGTATTTATTAATTTATGCATTCTTTAATTTCCAGATAAGTCCAGTGACAACGAAGGAGGTTCAGACTGTGAAAGTGAACCAGGTATTCCTCTAAAACGAAAACAACGCCGATCTAGAACTACCTTCACCGCCCATCAACTCGACGAGTTAGAAAAAGCTTTTGAAAGGACCCAGTACCCGGATATATACACCAGAGAGGAACTTGCCCAAAGAACTAAACTTACTGAAGCCAGAATACAGGTACTTACATGCAGATTCTTAAAATTTATATATTCTTCCTTCATAATTCTCTTCAATCACGGGATTTTGGAATTTTTTTTATTCTTTCAATAAATCAGTAAAACTATTGAGTTTGTGGTTCTTGTTTTTTTCATATTTTACTTTTTGTTATTTTATCATTTCTTACTATATATATATATATATATATATATATATATATATATATATATATATATATATATATATATATATATGTATATATATATATATGTATATATAATATATAAATATATATGTATATATATATATATATATATATATATACATATATATAAACTTTAAAGTCAAATATTTACGAAATATGTTTCGTAAACGTTTACTTTGTATTCCAGTTCTTCCTTTTGCAGAATTTTCAGTGTTTTTAATTGACGCTTATAAATTGAAAGCATTTGCAATCATTGATTTAGCTGCTGATTCAGCTGTTGATTAATCTGTTGTGTCTTTATTTTGCTGTGTAAACACATTTTGACATAATGTCAGAACATTGATTAATTTCGCTATTAACTCGGTTATTTTGACAAGAGAATTAAATTTTTCTCAGAAATAAACTTTCGAATATTGATAATTGCCTTTCGTTCTGTTTACTACCGAATTCGTAGGATCTGTTGCTTGGAGGATTTTATTTGTAACAATATGATTCATAAAAACTTATTTTTTAAACTTTATCTAACGTACTATTTTTATTGTTGTAAGCAGAAACATAATATTCTCTTATTACAATGTAAAGTTACCAGCAAGAAAACATATTTTCTTACGCCGGGCCCCACCAATAAATTAAAACTTTCCGAAAATGCATGATTGACACGTGATTTCGGGTATTTTCGACCAGTTAGGACGCTTGATTTTGGATGTCTTATTTAATTTTTTGTTTGTTAGAAAATATCAAAGTATTTTGAGAGGTTATATATCCGACAGCTAGCTTACTGATAAATGGATGAGGTGGGACGCAATCTAGTCTTATTTCTCTTTTGATATTTTAAATACAGAATTAAGTATAATATATTTTTTCTTCTTAATGTAGGTATGGTTCAGTAACAGAAGAGCCCGACTCAGAAAACAACTGTCATCTACATCATCGTCCTCGTATGCACCTTTAGGTGTGGTAGGAGGACCATATAGTGCTCCCACTACTCCATATGCCTCGTCTTTGGGACATGGTTTGGGTGATAGTACTTTCCCAAGCTCAGGAACTACTGCTTCAGGTACTAGTCAAAGTAAGTACTATTTCATTAAAATCTAAATGCAAATGTATCAAAGATTTTCAATATTAATGTGAACGTTATATTTCAGTGACTGAGCTCTATCCTAATCATACAGGACACTCGGCATCCCCAAATTTGCCGATAGCAGACGTCAAATGGGAGCATTCAATTCCCCACAACCCATACACTCATCCGATCTACTCATCATCAAATCTGATGCCGATATCACAAGGGCTGACTCCTCCCATTAGTCTATCGTCTAATGTACAACCAAGTACTTCTCCTAGTATGGCTACTAACACTCTCCAATCTTTGCCTCAACAGACTGAAATGGGAGATTACAAGGATGGAAACGATAATACCATTCATCATTCAACAAGCCCTTCTATTGGACAAAGCTACAGCAATATGACTGCTGCAGCTACTGGAATTGTTACGATGTTAGGACCAACTAGTGGTAAGTCATTTTTTACTAAATAAGCAAACAAAATATGTATGTTTTATGCTAAAATATATATTTAATTAGCTATTAGGTAATTCTTCTTGACATCACACATATTGCTGCATCTAGTGTTGCACAAAAACTGTTATTTCTGCTTGGTCTCACACTTTTCAGACCATCTGCCCACCATTTAGTTCTTTCCCTAGTTTCTAGTAAATCTAAAAAATCTAAAATCCCATTCCAATGCCTTATAGTTTAGTTTTATTTTAGCTTGGCAATTCGTTCGATGATGGCGTATTTTCCCGATTATAATTATATTCTTGTTAGTTAATCTCATCATTGTTGGTTGCAAATATCTCTAAAATCCTTTAACAATAAATTGTTTATTAGAAAAAAAAGTGAAAACGTTATCAGAGTGTTGTTACTCCACGAGTGCAGACTCCAGGAAAAAGAACCAAAGCCATGAAATTAATATTTCCGGAAGCTTTCTACATCGCGTTCTCTAAAAATATTTGTATTTTATATAAACGCTTAATAATTTTCTTTATGAAAAAATTGTCGCATTTGGAAAAAAGAAGATTCAGTAGTGATGTTTGCGAGATAAACTGCTATAAAAAAATCAAAAATAATTTTTTATCTAAATAATGGTGAATTCACCGTCCCAAAATGAAAAATTGTGGATCCTTCGCCAAAATATAAACTAATATCTTCGTAAATGAAAAGAAATTTCAGAATATTGACGCTTATTTTTGACATTTTTTATTGAATGTTGAATGTTATTGTCGGTAGTACTTGTTGGTAATTGGGATGAGTATTATTATTCCCAAAAATAGAAACTTATGGAGTAATATAAACAAGAAAACCAACTCCGCGTAGGCAAAGAGACAATTTTAAATACTTTATGATATACGATGGAAGTTTAAAATGTACTACAAAAACAGTGCTATCAGTGGTTTTCGGAGTATAAAGTTCTTCTATTATTTAATCTGATGTACTTCTTTTTCTTACAATAAAAAATAATACAACCGAAAGTGTTCTATAGACACAAATAAATTTGTTTGTGAAGTGAAAGTGTAATAAAATTGTTGCAATCTTGCAATAACAATTGTAAAAATAACAAAATACCACTTTTAATTATATTGTATGTTTTGGTCTGATGGTTTTCATTCTCGCCTCGATGGATAGACCTTTTTTTGTCAGCTGCTGGCCATTGATGACGGACGTAACGCAGACATTGTATAATGTTTTTGTATAAATTTTACATTTATTTTTTGGGAAATCCCCTGCTTCATTGAGTGCCGTTGTCCTACTATTGGATCATTTGGTGTTGGCCTAAATTTTGTTATCTAACCAATATTTAAATGAGATAATTTGAAAACAATACTTTATCTTTTTACTGTTTAAATAAAGTCCTTTAAAATAAGACATAAATAATATCAAAAATAACTAAATACTTGGAATAAGATTAAAGACCATCATCAATCTTCTCATCAAAGAGCATAGAGCAACTGCAGTTGGAGTAGGTATGAGTCTCAATAATGATGCTATATAGGCTAAAAAGATGAGTATTTATAATATCTCAATGAAACTCCCTAAAAGTTAAACAACAACGTTAAAAAATACTTTTGAGAGACCAAGACAGAACATGTGAGAACAAGACAGAGAGGACAACATGGCGAAGAATTTTAAATAATAACAAAGATTATTAGATGTATGTAATTATCTAATTAACATCAGCATTCAAACAATGTTCTTTTATTTATGTTTTGAATATTTATAAGTTTTGTTACACATATAGCGTTATCGATATTGAGGGCGCCTTTAGTTGCGCTGCTTTCGATTCCATGTGTGATGCTGGGGAAAGGCATGGGTTGGCTGTAGCTCGGTCAGGTGGATTTGAGCCCTTCTTTCTCAGAAGTAGATAGCTGTTTACCGAAACGGTTGTTGCGTCGGGTGTCAGCATCTCGTTGTTGCCCTCAGGGAGTAGTTGGCTTCATACTGTGGTACCTGGTAGTTGACGGCCTTCTTCAGCGACTGTCCAAACAAGGTGTATATGCGAAAGCCTACGCCGATGATGTAGTTATATTGGTTGAGAGGCTCAGGAACGGTGCAGGAAGTCGCTTAGGTGAACATCGGGTTTGTTGAGGAATGGTACCTGGAGCAGTCACTCGACCTTAATCTTGAAATGACTGCTGTGATTCAGATCATCGGACCTACCAGAGAGCTTACTTTCTATGGTAAAGTTTTATCGGTTTCCAATTCAGTGAAGTACCTGACTCCAGGAGTGATTCAGGATTCTAAACTTTCATAGAAGGAACATCTTGACGCTAAGATGATAAAGCCTATAACGACGAATGCTGTGGTAGCCCTGTGCTAGATTGGCTTCAGCTAGGGCCCAGTCACTCCATCAACTCCAGCGATTAGCAAGTGTTTGTATCTCAGGAGCAATGAGGACCACTCAGGACCACTTGAGGCTCTGCTGGACTTGCCGCCTCTACTTCTTATTGTAGAGCACGAAGCCTTGACTTTTCTAACTTGTCCTTACTGCTCTGGATCTTCTTCTTCTTCTTGTGTTGTCTTCTAACGAAGGTTGGCGATCACTTCTTTAAACGCTTCTCGATCTTTTCAACGTGAAATATCTGTTCAACACTGAGGTTAGTCCAATCTCTGATATTCCTCAGCCAAGATTTCTTCTTTCTTCCCAAGCCTTTTCTTCCCTCTACTCTACCTTGCATGATGACTTGTAGCAGAGAGTATTTATCGTTTCGAAGTATGTGGCCCAGATACGATGTTTTTTTTATTTTAATTGTGTTCATAAGCTTTCTGCCATGTCCAACTCGTCTTAACACTTCCCCATTTGAGACTTTTGCAGTCCAAGGAATCTTCCAATTTTTTTTATAGATTGGGCTTTCAGAGTCCAAGCTTCTACCCCATATAGTAGTTGTAACCAAACATAATATTCGACGAACTGATCTGATGGCCATACTCAATTTCTTATTTGTAAACACTTACTTGTATTTTATAAAGCCTTTTCGAGCTATTTCTATTCTGACCTTTATCCCCTGCTCTTGATCTAACTGTGAGTGTATAATTGCTCCGAGGCATTTATATTTGTCGACTCTCTCTAGGGGTTTGCCCTCCAACGTCAGTTGTATGTTGTCAATAGGGTTTTTTGAGATCACCATGTATTTGGTTTTATTTATATTCATTGTTAGTCCCATCTTTTTGCTTTCTCTGTTAATTATCTGGATACTGGTTGGGAATTAATGAGCAATTGGGCCATTGTGCCATTTGGAGACAGGACCTCCATTGTTGTCCTGTGCTCTCTATTGTACAGGATAGCATGGCCCCCCTATTTGAGTTTTCATCCTCCTTCTTGGTTCAATTTCCTGACCGGGATAAGTGGATGAAACGAAAGCCTGCACTAATCCGTCGAAACTGGCTCATCAGGTTCACGGATCTACCTTTCAGGCCTAGATCTTTGCGATCCTGGTATGTGCTCAGTAGATAATAGATAGGACTTGCTCAGGTAGGACCATCTCTATCTGCTCTGACAGTCAAGTAGAGCTAAGGGCTTTGGAAGCAAAGTCAGGTCCAAGCTGGTTCTTGAGTGAAAGAGAGCACTTATAGAGTTATCCTAGTATGGGTACTAGGCCACAGGCGTGGAAGGAAACGAACGGGCTGACGCCCTGGCAAGACCACTCTACCTGCGGGACCCAAATCTGTGATTGAAGTACCCTTCCGTACTAGTCGGATATATCTCAAAGAGCTTCTTCTGCAGTGGTTCCAGACTCTCCTGGACTAGTTGTGGAAGTATGAGACGAGCTAGGCTCCATATAGTGGGGCCATCCAAAAGTCTTACAGACCAAATTCTCCTAAATCGTAGAAGATACTTTCTGGTGGTCGGTATACTTACCGGCCACTGTAGACTCAGTCTGCACCTTGATCTGCTTGGATTGGCGGATGGCCCATGGTGCTGTCTTTGTAATGTCAGTGTTTTATTTTTATACGATAAAAACTAATTGAGATGTTGACGTTTTAAGGATGCACATAAGTGTGAGCAGTTCCTTCTTTAAACCTTTAAATCATCATCATTTTGGCTTTACAACTCTGCGTGGGTCCTAGCCTCCTAAAGAATTTCTCTCCAGTCGTCTGTATCCATCGTCTTTCTCCGCTAAGCACGTATTCCCATATTTCTCATGTCTTCATTGATGTTTTGATACTTTGTCCAGTTTATCTTGAGTTGGATATGGCAGAAAGCTTATGAACACAATTAAAATAAGAAAAACATCGTATCTGGGCCACATACTTCGAAACGATAAATAATCTCTGCTACAAGTCATCATGAAAGGTAGAGTAGAGGGAAGAAAAGGCTTGGGAAGGAAGAAGAAATCTTGGCTGATCAATATCAGAGATTGGACTAACCTCAGTGTTGAACAGATATTTCACGTTGCAAAAGATCGAGAAGCGTTTAAAGAAGTGATCGCCAACCTTCGTTAGAAGACGGCACAAGAAGAAGAAGACATCAATGTTATCAAGAAACCTTGTTCTGGGTCTTCCTCTTCTTCTCTGATCAATGGGCGTATCAAGTAGCGTTTTTCTACCTGGGTCAATTTGTTCCATCCGCATTACATTCCCTATCTACCTCAGACGTGATATCTTAATATGTTTTACAATATCTGATTTCTCGTATATTCTATAAAGTTCTAAATTGTATCGTCTTCTCCATACTCGATTATCATTCAGTGCTCCATAGATTCGCCTTAGTATTCTTTTTTCGAAATATCCTAACATGTTTTCATTACTTTTTGTTAGAGTCCAGGTCTCTGAGTCATATGTTAAGATTGGGCTTATTATTGTTTTGTAGAGTTTTATTTTTGTATTCCTCGATATAATTGTTGATTTAAGGAGTAGATTGAGCCCAAAATAGCATCTGTGGCCGTACAAATTATGCATTTTATCTCTCTGGTAGTTTAAATCGCATGGTTTAAAAATAGAACACACCAAAAATGTTCAATTTCTCAGATATTGCAATTTTTTAAATTCCCTACAATATAAGCTTTGTATTAATTAGATATATTTAAAATTAAAAAAGTTATGGTAAGAGAACCATTTACGTCTCCATTTTTCAATTTGTTCGGAGCTATAAATATCTCGGATTTCAACTATGTTATACTATACAATTTTTCATACTACACACTACCATACAATATTATTGTTTGTTCTCGCAAAAGATATACAGTTTAAAAAATTGAACAGTGTGTAAGGCCCTAGACGATCAATTATGTTGCGCAATAGTGTTAAATAACAACTAAACCACATAATAAATACTTAACAATATTTTTCTTTTTCAGCAAACAGCAACAGCAACGACGCCCCTTGCGCCGAATCCACCTCGGACCACCACATATCTTCCCAATGGCACATGTCATCTCCACACCAAATACGAAATTTGAGCCCGACGCTTCCCAACCAATCAATATCGACCAGTTTGGGACAATTAAGCCAGCCACTACCCCAAGGCCTAGGTAGTTTTAGTCAGAGCACCATGCAACACGGTATTCACAGTTATCACCACCATCAGACTCCAAAAACCTTCGGCCACCAGCCGTTTTATGGGTGGTATTAGAGAAAAGTGAACAAGAGTGTATTCAGTATTAAAAACTTTCATTTGTATATATGTTTTGAGTTAAAAAATTTGAACTTATAAATTTTTGTATATTTACAAAGTCAAGCGATTTTTTGTTTTTTTTTTGCATTATTGGCTGTAGATTAAACAAAAACGATAGGTTGGTCAATAAAATAGACAGATTTGGCAAAATGTAAATTTTAACATCTATTTGGATTTTTTTACCATATTTGAGCAGTTTATTATTCAACGAGCATATGATTATTGACGAGGGTAAAATTTAGTACGAATAAGAGCCATAATACCTATGCTAGTAAAATACTATACTTTGTCCACGACTGTTATAGCTTTCTTTATGGCTGTTTCAATTCACGTAAATGATCCCACTGGTTGGTACCCAAATAAACTTGTAGTATGGGCTGTACATTAGTTATGAGCCGTAGCAGTGTATGTGAAATTATTGAGATGCTATCCAATTATCGCATCATCGATATCTTTCAGGATTGGTTAAACTATCTCTAATACCCCTGTACCCCTCTAATACCTCTAATATCTCTGTCTAATACCCCTGTTCATCTCAACAAATTTGTTCAGATTTTTGCTGTTAGATTACCGTAAAGTTGGTGATTATTCTAAGATCTCTGTTATCGATGTCACAGTCTTAATATAGATACTATTAATAGTATATTGTGTTTTATTATGTGTGCAAAATGATTTCTGATAGTCGACAAAACGTATGTATATTTTACAGTTGATGTCTTTGGAGCGCTGGAACAGAACTTGTGTATCAAAAAGTGCTTCTCCTGTACCTATAGCAATTCAAAACCGAACTGTATATCTGTCAGTTTTTCTTCTCATTTTCTATAGAATCATTGGTGAATTATTTTTGGGAAGGCTTTGAGTAAATGACTTGTTAAGATATGATTTTTTATTTTTTACATTTTTGTAATAGGTCCCTTTGGTAGAGCAACAACATTCTAGTATTTTAAAAATATAATTTAGCTCTCCAGGTCCACAAGGCGCATGGCTTGGTTTACTATTCGTTTCCATTTTAGTTCGATATCAGAAAATATTCAGCATTGCAAATCAAACTGTCCAATGTCTATTCCCATTCCGGATACTTGTTTCCTCCACTGCTCTAGCGATGATTGAATATATTTTAAATAAGGTCGGAGATAGACAACATCATTGTTAAAGCACCCTTGTTATTGTAAAATGGTTCAGATATAAAGTTTCCTTCTTTAACGACATTTTTTGCATTTTTGTATATATTTGCGATAGCATTCACATACTCTCTACTGAGACCTACTTTCGTCAATGTTTGAAACAGTTTTTTCAAAGATCCTGTATCGTATGCCTTCTCTAAATCTACAAACAATAGGTAGGTAGATAGATTGCCTTCAGTTTTTCAATTACCTGCTGCAGAACGAATATACCATCAGTGCACGATCTTCCTGCACGAAATCCATTTTGTTTTATGTCTTCGTATTCTGATTCTATTCTTTCTTTTATTATTCGACCGTACAACCTCTCCACTGAGCTGATAACAGTTATTCCAATCATCAGGGATATTTTGTCCTTTTAACCATTTGTTAAATAGTTGAACCAACATCTCATAAAATATTTTTCGTCCATACTTTACCAACTCAATTGGGATGTCTCCAGGTCCTGCTGCTTTACCGTTTTTCGATCTTTTGAGGGCATCGCTTAACTCTCTGTTACATGTTTGTCTTTATACCCCAAAACTTCACTTGCAGCCTCATGAATGCATTTTTTAAGTTGCTGGCATAATTCTGTCGCTGCTATATTTTCTCGATCCACATTTTGTAATTTTGTGGCCAGTCGTAATTTGTAAAGAAATTTCGTTGAATCTTCGTTTAAGGTTTCTAGGTTATATTTAGGGGATGTTGCTTCTTCTCTCTTTTCTATATTCTGTACCTGAGTGTTACTGTTTTTGCGATAGTTAACTATCACGTTATTTATTTATTTATTTATTTACTAACGGGATACCACCCAATTTAATTTATTACAAAGTTATTACACAAAGTATTACAAGTATTATCTAGTGATACAATAATTATAAAAATATAGTAAATATGTATGAAAAGAATTGGCGATGCAGCTATATAGAAAAAAAAACAAATATTAAAATTATAAAAAGCACATAGCAAATATAAATCACATAAAATTACAAATATTTTTTAAACACATTCTACAGACATTTTCCGAAGCGCACAGCAACAAATCAAAGTCTATTCTATTTCCATTTAGAATGATTCTACTCAGTGGAGAATGCCTACCAAAGTTAGAGCGATGAAATTTAATTGGAAAATTATGAGATGTTCTAGCAACTCTAGAGGGAACATTAAAGTCAATTAGAGACAGTCATCATCATCATCATCATTCAGCCCATACTCGTCCACTGCTGAACATAGGCCTCCTGTAGTTCACCCCACAAATTTCTGTCCTGAGCCGCCTGCATCCAATTTTGATGTGTCCGTTTCAGGTCATCCGTCCATCTTGTTGGTGGTCGTCCTCTATTTCTAAAGGCATCTTGTCTGGGTCTCCACTCAAGAATGCGTTTTGTCCATCTGCCGTCCTTCGTTCTCGCGACGTGCCCTGCCCAGTTCCATTTTAAGGTAGATCATATTGATATTGATATTGATTGATATTAGAGACAGTAGATCATTGCAATTAATTTTTGAATTCAGTAGTTTATGAAGAAACAAAACATCAGCATACATCCGTCTGGAAGATAGCCTAGGAAGGTTTACTGTATTTCTAATTTCTGAGTAGGGATGGTCGCTTAAAGGTTTATGTAATTTAAAACTTAAGTACCTAATGAATTTATTTTGGACTTTTTCAAGCTTGGCTATATGGACTTCATAAGTGGGTGACCAAACGACTGAGCAATACTCAACAACAGATCTAACTAGGGAATTGTAAATCAGTCTGATGGAATTATTGTTATGCAAACATCTAGAGGTTCTAATAATGAAGCCTAACATTTTAAATGCCTGGTTATTCACATAATCAAAATGAGCGCAAAAATTTAGTTTGGAATCTAATTGAACACCTAGATCTCTTACAGTTGAGACAGCCTTCAGTGGTTCTTCAGCTAATTTGTAATTATAAGAGAGTTTGTTAATTGTTCTACAGAAACGTTGGGCATTAGTAAACGATGGTCGGATCCATATTCTGATCCACGGTACACCTTTACATCAATTGTTTTCAGCTGGGAAGTTTGATGTTGGATTACATAGTCGATTATCGAGCGCAGATTCCTAGTAGGTTGTATCCATGTAAATTTGTGGATGTCTCTATGTTAAAAAAATGCCATTCATAAATTTGAGAGATCTGTAAGACGTATTTCTTTGTCATTGGTTATTTGTTCCCCATATCTTCCTACGACTCTGTTATTTAATTCATCTACTAATTGCATTCATTCATATCTATCATTTATTTTAAATCTAACTAAAATACTGATAATACTGTCGAAGACCATGCTAGTTTTGGTCCGTCTCGGGTATTTCATTTCCCTGATACCCCAGCCATTATGATGAAGTGCCCGATGGAGGGCGCCTCCCCAATGCTAACAGAAATTCTTATTAGTAGAGCACAATAAATTTATTTTCCTTTATAACTTTTTAAACGAGATACTTCGCAAAAATTGGGTTCATTTTAAAACTGTCGTGGACAAAAAAATATATATATATACACTAAATCCCTTTCCATAATTTTTTATTTAGGTATGTATTTTATAAAAAGATTGTTAAAAAATTTCATGAAACAACTTTGCGTTTGACTGAATGCTTGTACATAAATATACCTAACGATGTAATAAAAACTAAGTTGCCTTAAATAATGTGATATTAAGGTACTTTTAACGTAATTTAGTTTTTATACTTAGCTTTACACCAATCAGAGATTTATTTATCGATAATTGTAGGAAATTATATTTTTGTAAATATTGTACATACCTAAAATATTTTTATATGTTAGTAATTGACTAGAAACACCTGCCAATTATGAATGTTTGCATTGGTTATTATTTCTACCATTTAGAAAAATTAACTGTAAGAAATTTATTTTTATAAGAAAATTCTTTATCAAACAGACTCCTACATATTATTCTAAAGACTTGTTTGTGGCATTTTGTGTTTATTAACTTTATACCTGGGAATTAACTACAAATTAATAATGATGAATACTTTAATGAATCTGCCCCCAAATCAGAAGCAGTTTTCAAATTATTCTTTTTAAAAACCTAAAAAGAGAAATAAATTATCACGGTCCTGGTATTGGGACAGTAAGCAACTATTCACACTGTCGATCTTTTCTTGATACACTATCACCTAGGTGTAAAACTCCTACATGAGAAATAATGAGCCTGATACATACTGTGTCCTGCAAATTTTAGTTTTGAAGTTCCACTGTTCTTCACTTTCCGTTTGTTAAACTTTCCTGAAATAGACTTGAACTGTTTTTATAATCTACCATTACTATCTACTCATTTCTTATCTTTGAGTTTATTTCATGTTATAAACAGATAAGTCAAGACAAATAAATATGAAAACCAGATGAATACCAGAATAAAGGTCGATTCAGACACATCAGTCACGTCACAGTCACGGTACCGAACCGGTCCTGTTTGGTCACAGAACTATCAACTATCTGACAGCTGGCAAACTGTTCGTCAACTGATGAGTGTGAATGCCGGCGCCATATTTGTATTAAAGAATATTTTGTATGACGGATTGTTCGATTCGGCGCAATCACTGTGACGAGATGGTGACGAGACGTGACTGATGTGTCTGAATCGACCTTAAAGGTCAATTCAGACACATCAGTCCCGTCATAGTCTCGGCGCCGAACCGGTCCTATTTGGTCACAGAACTATCAACTATCTGACAGCTGGGGAACTGTTTGTCAACTGATGAGTGTGAATGCCGGCAACATATTTGTATTAAAGAATATTTTGTATGACGGATTATTCGGTTCGGCGCAATCACTGTGACGAGACGTGACTGATGTGTCTGAATTGACCTTAAAGGTCGATTCAGACACATCAGTCACGTCTCGTCACCATCTCGTCACAGTGATTGCGCCGAATCGAACAATCCGTCATACAAAATATTCTTTAATACAAATATGGCGCCGG